GCGGCGCTCCCCGGCCACGGCGGTTTTCCGGTGAGCATCTCCACCACCGTGCATCCCAGCGACCACACGTCCGCCGCCGGCCCCTGGCGCTCGCGGCGAATCACCTCCGGCGCCATCCACAGCGGGCTCCCGCGCGGTGTCGCCGCCGCGGGGAGCCCCTCGCCGGAGAACTCCGCCGCGGATCCGAAGTCGACGAGCTTGCAGCCGGCACCGCCGGCGCCGACGAGGACGTTCCTCCCCTTGACGTCGCAGTGAACAACGCCGTTGGCGTGCACGTGGCGCAGCGCGCTGACGAGGCACCACGTGTATTTTCTGAGTAAAGACTCGTCCACGTCAGCGTCCAGGTCAGCGAGGGTGCCACCTGGCAGGTACTCGATGTGGAGGTTGCGTTGCTCGCACGTGGCGTCGTGGCCGAGGAAGGTTACCACGTGCGGCGAGGACGAGACGCGTTGGAGGATCCGAATCTCGTTCTCCAGGGCCTCCAGCTGACCCGGGAGACCCGTTTTGAGGCCCACGGACTTCACCGCGAATATCGAACCATCGCGTTTGCGAAACGCGACGCTGACGCTGCCAAACGCGCCCTTACCTATGCACTTGCCTCGTATCCAAGAACCCATTTTAGAGCTTCTAGTTCAAATTTTGCGTGTGTTGGTTTTTTTGAGGGGATGTCACTATATATAGTGAATGATCGTGGGTGTTTGCTTTTTGGTCTCGCACTCGAATTTGTAATTTTGTTTACTTTAGGTCCAACGTGGAATTTAGTGGAAGTGGATAATTAACAAAAACGGTGGTAGCAATTCGCAAGAAGTTTCAAATGACGTAAACGGTGATAGATAGGGAAGAAAAGCATTGAAAAGAGTTTCTTTTTTTTTGTGTGTTTTAATCCTTATCCATTTTTCTGAATTACAGTAACTTTACCCATTTTACTTTACACATGTTGTTTTTTTCTTCTTTTTTAATGAAGTAAACGTAAAATAATACTTAGACACACACATGAAACATTAGTGACGGGTTGGGTTTTGCTACCTTCCATGTATTTCTTTGGTTAATTTTTTAGTTTAGTTAAAGAATATTATGAATTAGAACATGTGGCTGTAATGAGGAATGGGACCTTTTGTGGTATTATTTTTGGGGAAGGGAAAACAGAACACAGTAAAATAGAAGTGGGCAAGTGAGGTTGGCAGAGGAGATGCCCTTTCCATGATACATGCTTGTTTCTCTTAGCCACACAATGTTTAAAAATATTTTTATTTTGTTTCTTTTTCTTTAGAAATTTGTTGCATGTGGATGCTTTATTTTTTCTTCTTCTATAAGCTCCCAAAATTTAGCTCTATCTCCTTCTGTGTTTATCCTGGACAATATTATTGGAACACTAATTTTGCTACTTGGTATCAGTCTTTAGTTGATATGTTAATAATATACTTATTTTTCAATAAATAATATTTATGTTAATTTTACCAAATATAAATTATATGCAAACTATTTAGTGTAATTCGTATAATTGTTGCTTACAAATTTAAAAATATACAAAAGAGTTTGTTGCTATTAGCATTCTTATAGTTATTTATTTATTTATTTTAAGCATGTGATACATGATATTAATCCCTTTATATTAAATATGAATTATTATTTTGTACAAGAGTGCTCTTAAGGATATTTTCTTTTACAAAAGAATTTGTAAAAGAAAATTTAACTTTTTATCTAATTCAATTTTATTTATCATAATTATTCATTAGTTAAATATTAATATTATGAAGTAAATCATCAAAAATATTGTATTATAATATAAATTATTTATCAATAAATATAAAATATAATTTATATATTTAAAAATATTTTTTTTATAAATTTTAAATATAATTTATATATTTAAATTATTTATTTATATATATATATAATTTATTATAAATTTTAACTATATAATAAACATGTATGCGTGCACATACTATATTGTTAATTATGAGTTTATTTTTGCATAAGATTAATTAACATTAAATTATTTTGTATCTATTAGAATTAAACCACGTGTTTAGGGATTTATAAGCATTTTCACAGTAGTTTTAAATAAAAATGTTCTTTGTATTTTTTGGTTCAAAGTTGAAACAAACTTTTAGAAGCTTTTCAGTGGAAAGCCAATCATGCTAGATGACATAGCATTTCATTTTGGAACACTCAACATTCCTATTTTCCCTTTTGACAGAATATTATAAAAGAAAAAATAGCTGAGGGGAAGATAATCACGCCCTCTTATGAATTATTAATTGGTTTCTTTCCACTAATTGGTTTCGTGCATGCAAACTCAAGTTCGGATTGGATTTGCTCCACTTGTCATCATGTGAGTGTTTGTGAAGGACATTGAAATCAAATTGACCCAAAAGGATTATTATAAAATAATGGACAACAGCGTTACGCATGGGGAAAGGGAAACCAAGGGAGGGGTCGTCCACACAACATCACCTTTTAGGATAATATTTAAATTCGTCTCGACTTTGATAAAAAATATCTAATTTGATCAAATATGAATATAGATAAAATCTAAAATATTAGATCAAAGACGGGAATGAGTATATATTTACCCACCATATCTTCGTCTCTGTCTCTGTTTCTATTTTCATCCTCGATTTAATATTTGTCTTGAGTTTGATTATTTTAAAAAAATTTAATATTTAACTATATGTGATTGTTTATTATGATATAAAATATTTGTGGTTGTTTAATTATTAAGAAGTTCCTTAATTAAAATATGAGATAAACAAATAACACAACTACAATTGTAATATAATGGAAAGATAAGTTAAAAATATTGTTTGTTTTCTTTATGCAAAAAAAAAGTAATTAATTTTTGACAAGTACGAATATGTCCGATACTTGACGGAGACAGAAATGAGATGAAAATTACATACTTAATAGATACAAGAACGGGAACAGAGATGGATTTGAACTACAAAAATGGAGATAAGTATCATGAAACTTGTACCCGACTCGTCCTGTTGTCATACCTAATCACTTTTCACACATAACTGGATATGTAGAAGGAAACCACAAAGTTTCAAAAGGAAAATAAGATTATATTCAACAAAGTTTCTAGTGGATTGCCATTTGGCTTGCGTAGAAACAACTACGAGGGTGGGGGTGGCTACCACCATGGAAGTTACCATGAGTGACATCACAGATTGCATTTGCGAGGTTGCAGCTAGTGACGCGTATAAATAATTTCAAAGTAACTTCGATTGAATTGGGATCATTTTCACACGACGACACGAAGGAGAAATCAAATCACTTGGAATATGTATGGAATATCAGAATATGCATCAAGTTAAAGTATGGAACAAATGTTTGGTTTTGGATGAGGTTGTTGTTACGAGGGTTAAGCAAAGTGCTTCATGACTTTGACTTCCATATTATGTGACGCAATTAATTAATCATCTTTTTGTAGATATGGATGCATCAAATATTAAATAAATAAGTTGTACACTTTTTATTTTGTTCACATGCTAAAGAAAGAAGATATCATTGAAGGAAAAAGGAAAATTAATTTGGATTTTAGATTCTTAGAATCAATCATTCACAAAGAAGACCTGTGGCATTTTTAGCTTTAAAAAAAAAGTATTAAACTTTGTTTATTATGCTGAGATATACTTTGAAATTATATATGTGTATAAGTGTAAGAGTAATTAAAACAGTTATTGGCAAGATTTGGCATGAATAAATTTAGAAAACAGTTACATGTTGAAAAGAACCACGGTCTTGATTCTTGAACATGATTGCGTACTTTTAAGCCTCTTAACTTAATTTCATAATGTCCTAAAAAAACGTAATTTTATAATTTTACTTGTATTACATTAATGATATAAACAATTTTGCGTCAAAATTGTTGCATTTTATAATAAATATTTAAATAATTTAAAAAAAATTGATAAATTATTACAAACCATTACATTAATATATAATATTTAAAAATTAAAAAAATAAACTTTTTTTATGCCAAAATAGTATTTTAAAATTTCAATCTAATATCATCTGCTTACCGTAATAATCTAATGAATTTTAAAAATAGTGGATGGTTCAGTTCACTATCCATTCATAAAATTAAATGGATGAATTGAATTTAATCAATCATTATTATATTTGTAATAACATATAAAAGATATTTCGTGTCTCTGCGAATTATTTTTAAAAAATAATAATAATAACAAAAATTATATAATATTGGGTGATTATTAAAAATACATACAATTATGAAGTGAAGTTTATAGAAAAAAAAATTTAAAAATGTAATTAATAAAAGGATAGTTATTAGGGTAAAATTGTCTAAAATATGAACATCTGATAGGTCAATTCCCTTTATTAATAATATAGATAATAGATTGATTAAATGGATTTACTCATGAATGAATTAAATAAATGATAAATAAATTAATTAGTTTGTCACTCCTAATTGATAATGATGATATGATTAATAAAAAGTTTGTAATGACATTTGATGTGCACCACCTCTTTAATAATAAAACTTAAGAATCAAATTGTTGATATTGTATAAACCATGCACGATATGCATATAACATTGATTTGGATGTATGAAAGTGAAACTAAATCCTATGTTAGGAAGGTCCTCTTAAAGATCTTTAGATTTGATATTTGGGAGTAAACTTAGCTAGTTTGAGATCTTCATATGGCCCATGAGTAATTCTATGTTTATAGTTTTGTTAAATTAGATGAGTTAATATAAGTGAATTGTTCACCTTTGTTTCACATTAAGAGCTTGAGTGAGATGTATCTCACTCTTTTATTGTTTGTTTGTATTTAGGGTGAATATCACTTGCAAGTGAGAAGTTTTATAATGTTGATATTGGAGGAGAGACTTAGACCTTAACTCATATTGATACCTTATGAATAATTTTTTATTTGAGAGATTTTTTTTATCCATGAGAACCAAAGATGGTACTACTGGTGTTTACAACAATTCATACACCTTACTCATCCATGAGAGATTATATTTGTACAATAAATATGAATATTAAAAAATTGTATAAATAAAATAAATTTTTTTAAATAAAATGAGCTTATTGTATAAATAATATATTTTACATTATGTTTGGTAACATAGAAATACATTAGAAATTGAGTAAGGTGGAAATGAAGATGGTGATAAAAAAAAAAAAAGTTGGAAAGTTGATTTAAATCATTCCTTATGTGTACAAATTTTATGCCTAAGTTCAAATTTGGAGTTTCACTTGGTAGATGATGTCCTAACAACTTTTTAGTCTATGCTTTTGACATATGCAAAAGGAACTCAATTTTTTTGTTTTTTTTTTCTTTTATGTAAAAAAAAGTAGAGTGGAAAGAAGTTTAAACATGATGGACCAATTGTGATTTATTTATTCATCGAAGTAAAGAAAAGTAGGCTAAAAAATGGCATACTAAACTTTCCTAAGCTAATCTTTTCCATTCTTAAACTCAATTTCATAATTTGTAATGAAAATATCTAGAAACATCCATAGTCAAACCTATCAAAACTTAAGGTCAACATTATTACAATAATATCAAATTAGTTCACATGAGCATAGTAAAAAATTGACTCACTTATAGCCATTTAAATATAGGTAAGCATGCACTGACTTCATCACAAATAAACT